TAAAAGCTTATTTACAAAAAGCTCTTCTTATGAAGCTTTTTTATAAAAAGTTATTCTTATGAAGCTTTTTATAAAAAGCTTTTCTTATGAAACTTTTTTGTGAAAATACTCTTTCTAAAAATATTTTAATTTAAAGCTCTTTTTAAGAAGAAGCTTTTTCATTAAAAACTCTTCGGATGAAGTTTTTTATTTACAAAAAGCTCTTCTTATGAGTCGCTGTTATAAAAAGTTATTCTTATGAAGCTTTTTATAAAAAGCTTTTCTTATGAAACTTTTTTGTGGAAAGCTCTACTTATTAGACTTTTTTATAAAATGATATTTTTATGAAATTTTTTCTGTAAAAAACTTTTTTTTATATAAAATTTATTCGTAAAGAAATTTTAGTTATATTTTTACATAAAGCTTTTTCGAAAATAGTCATTTTTAACAGCTTTTCTTAGAAGAGAGAGCTTTCATTAAACAGTTTTGCTTGAAAAAAGCTTTTTAATTAATTTATGTTTCCATCAATAACGTTTCTTAATATTTTTATTTTCGAAAAGAGCTTGCATTAAGAGCTTTTTTGAAAACCTTTCAACTAATATTTGTAAAACAAAAGCGTTTCTTTAAAAAAATTTTATATAAAAAAGTTTTTTCTTTTTTAAAAAAAAAACTTTTCTTATGAGCTTTCTGAAAATTCTTTGTTCAATAAAGCTTTTGTTGAAAAAAAATGTTTCTCCAATAAAAATTAACATTATTTTGAAAAAGTTTTTCTCTAAACAGAGAAGTTTTTTTTCCAATAAAAGCTATTCTTTAAAAAAGCTTTTCTTAAACAAGTTTTTCAGAAAAAATTTCATTAAAAAAGACAAACTTTTTATTGTAGTAAAAAATTTTTGTAAAAAGCTGTTTTTAGAAAATGTTTATTATAAAGAGCTTTTTTAAAAAGGAATCAATCAAACAAAGTAGATTAATATGAAAATTTACTTTTAAGAAAAGTTTAAACTATAAATGGATTGTTATGTTATGGAGCTTTCGTGGAAAGAAAGAGCTTTTTTTGAACTAGATGTAGATAGATAAAGTTTTGTTGTTTAGTTTACTTTTGGTGGAGTTCCTGTAAGATTGTTTTAAGAAAATAAAGCGTTTCAAGAAATGAAAATAAGCTTTAAAGGCACAAATGATAAAATATTAATGTAAATTGCAAGATTTATAATTAGAATTGAAAATTTAATCCTTTTTAAAGAAATTCATTACGGAAAAGCTAAGCTAGTCTTAATTAGATTTATTAAGAGACTGTAAGCAAAGTTTAAAACTTTGCTAATGTATTTATTTTATAAATTAAATGACTAGCGATATATTATCGTATATAAATTAATGAGTGAGAGAGAGAGAGAAAGCAAACACATAAAGAGTTAAAGCTTAAATAAGTTAAGCAATTAAAGCTTTAAAGCTTGATTTTTAACTAAAACAAAGAAATTAAAAATAAAAAGCAAATCAAGAGAGAGAGAGAGAGTGAGGGAGAGAGATAAAGAGTGTAAAAGATAACTAAAGTTAAGCCAAGACCTCAACCCAATTTAAGAAAACTAAAATATTTAGACAAAAAGTGAGAGTATGAGTAAAAAGACAAGGAGAGAGAGAGAGCAAACAAATAAAAGCTAATGGGTCTAGGATTCTTTTTATAAAATAATAAAATACCAATAAAGTTTCTTGTTTTTTTTTACACAAAACTATGTTTTTTTTCAAATATATTTTAAAACAAAATTAACAAAGAAAACATTTATAAAATACGCTAAAAGCTAAACAAATAATAATAATAGATTTAATAACATAATTATGATTTAAGTACTAAAACAATAATTAATGATAATGAAGTTTTACACACAAAATTAAAATTGTTTTCCTTTTAAATTAAATTTAGAGATTAATACAACACAATTTATTTTATTTTTTAAACAATTAAACAACTTAGTTTTATAAGAATATTTGTTTTTTGTTTTTAGATTTTTGCAAATTACAAAAAAAAACATACAATTTTGCAAAAAAAAAAAAAAAATATTATAATAATTTTGGTTTTTTAACTAAATTTTACATTAGTTTTTTTTTTCTATAAATAATTTAAGGACAAAAAGAAAGTAAAAGAAATTTTTGTGTAGTTTTTTATAGTTTTATAAGTTTAAGCACAACAAAGTTAAAATTAAAAAAAATAATTTGAAATTAAGTCATAGGCAATAAATAATTTATAAAAATTAGCAAACATGTATAAACAAATAAGTTTTTTTTTTTTGTTTAAACTTATTTTCAAAAAAAGCGAGATCTAAACATAACAATAGGAAAACTATAAAACCAAAAATTTTTTTTTTTTAAATAAAATAAAAAAAATTACCAAAAAAAAAACTAATTTAAATTTAAACAAATTATAACAACAAGTAAGTAAAGTCCATAATCTAAATTAAATAATTTCAATTCAATTTCGTTTTAATAAGTTTTTTTTTATACAATTCGTTGTCTAAGTAAAAGAAATTTATCAACTTGGTTTTTTAATGTTGACAAAAAAACTCAATTATTTTTAAACACATACTTAAATATTATACAAGAAGAAAAAAATAATCATAATCATAATTAAACATTACAAATTACAACAGTATCAATGCAAAGAGAAAGTTAGAGAGAGAGAGTTATGTATGTTTAAATGTTTAAAGAGTTATATGTATACATAAAGAGAGAGAGCTTAAAACACTTAAGCACATTTAAAAGCTGCTTTTATTTATTTTCTTAAATAAAGCCAAGGGCATTACTACTTAAGCAAATGTTGTTGTTGGTCTTAAAGCAACAAGTTTTATTTAAAAGCTTTAATGCTTTATTAGTTATAGTTTATTAAGTTTAGCTTTTAATCTTAATCAAAAGCTTTAGTTTTATTATATTGGTAATATGTTAGAAGTGTCAGGCATGGAAAATTTGGAAATTTAGAACTTTTTCTAACTTATAAACTTTTGCTACGTAGTCCATATAGTAGTCAATAGAGCAGTCTATAGTGTAGTTTTTAGTCAAGTCTATAGTGTAGTATATAGTCTAGTCTATTGACTAGTATATGGACTAGTCTATGAACTCATCTATGGACTTGTTTATAGACTAGAATATAGTCTAGTTAATAGTCTAGTCTATGGACTAGTCTAGAATACAGTCTAGATTATAGTCTAGTATATTGTGTAGTATATAGTATGGTCTATAGTCTATAGTGTTGTCTATATTCAAGTCTAATATACAGAATAGTCTATAGACTATTTTATAGTCTATTCTATAGTCTATTCTATAGACTATTCTAGTATATAATGAAGATTATAGAAGATTAGTTGAATAAATAGTCTAGTCTATAGCCTAGTCAATAGTCTAGTCTATAGTCTATTCAATAGTCTAGTCTATCATCTAGTCTATCGTCTAGTCTATAGTCTAGTCTATAGTCTAGTCTATAGTTTAGACTATAGCCTAATCTATATTCTAGTCTATAGTCTAGTCTACAGTCTAGTATATAGTCTAGTCTATAGTCTAGTCTATAGTCTAGTCTATAGTCTAGTCTATAGTCTAGTCTATAGTCTAGTCTATAGTCTAGTCTATAGTCGAGTCTGTAGTCTAGTCTATAGTCTAGCCTATAGTCTAGTCTACAGTCTAGTCTATAGTCTAGTCTATAGTATAGTCTATAGTCTAGTCTATAGTCTAGTCTATAGTCTAGTCTACAGTCTAGTCTATAGTCTAGTCTATAGTCTAGTCTATAGTCTAGTCTATAGTCTAGTCTATAGTCTAGTCTATAGTCTAGTCTATAGTCTAGTCTATAGTCTAGTATATAGTCTAGTCTATAGTCTAGTCTTTAGTCTAGTCTATAGTCTAGTCTTTAGTCTAGTCTTTAGTCTAGTCTAGTCTATAGTCTAGTCTATAGTCTAGTCTATAGTTTATTCTATAGTCTAGTCTATAGTCTAGTCTATAGTCTAGTCTATAGTCTAGTCTATAGTCTAGTCTATAGTCTAGTCTATAGTCTAGTCTATAGTTCTAGTCTATAGTCTAGTCTATAGTCTAGTCTATAGTCTAGTCTATAGTCTAGTCTAGTCTAGTCTAGTCTATAGTCTAGTCTATAGTCTAGTCTATAGTCTAGTCTATAGTCTAGTCTATAGTCTAGTCTATAGTCTAGTCTATAGTCTAGTCTAGTCTAGTCTATAGTCTAGTCTATAGTCTAGTCTATAGTCTAGTCTATAGTCTAGTCTATAGTCTAGTCTATAGTCTAGTCTATAGTCTAGTCTAGTCTATAGTCTAGTCTATAGTCTAGTCTATAGTCTAGTCTATAGTCTAGTCTATAGTCTAATCTATAGTCTAGTCTATAGTCTAGTCTATAGTCTAGTCTATATTCTAGTCTATAGTCTAGTCTATAGTCTAGTCTATAGTCTAGTCTATAGTCTAGTCTATAGTCTAGTCTATAGTCTAGTCTATAGTCTAGTCTATAGTCTAGTCTATAGTCTATACTCTAGTCTATAGTCTAGTCTATAGTCTAGTCTATAGTCTAGTCTATAGTCTAGTCAAGTCTATAGTCTAGTCTATAGTCTATTCTGTAAACTAGTCTATAGTCTAGTAATCTAGTCCATAGTCTAGTCTATAGTCTAGTCTATAGTTAGTCTATAGTCTAGTTTAGTCTATACTCTAGTCTATACTCTAGTCTAGTCTATAGTCTATCTGTACACTAGTATATAGTCTAGTCTATTGTCTGGCATATAGTCTAGTCTATAGTTTAGTCTAGTATAGTATATAATAGAGATTTTAGAAGATTACTCTAGTCTATAGTCTAGTCTATACAATAATATATAGTCTAGTCTATAAGCTAGTATATAGTCTAGAATATAGTCTAGTATATAGTCTAGTATATAGTCTAGTATATAATTTAGTATATAGTCTAGTCTATATTTTAGTCTATAGTGTAGTCTATAGTCCAGTCTACAGTCGAGTCTTCAGTCAAGTCTATAGTCAAGTCTATAGTCAAGTCTATAGTCAAGTCTATAGTCTACTGCATAGTTTAGTCTGTAGTCTAGTCTGTTGGTTAGTTTATGGCCTAGTCTATAGTTTAATCTATAGATTAGTCTATGTTTAGCACTGTATTTCAAAATTTCGATTTTCCATGCCTGTTAAGTATTTATATGTTTGTTGTTGTTCTCTTATTTAATTAATTGTTAGGAACCTAAAGAAAAAACACAAATGTTTAAGATTAAATATATTTAAGTAACTGTCTGCTATAAGCTGAGTAAATCTAATATTTCGTTGCTAATAACTAATAAAAAAACATGTTTTGAACGCCGTACTAAGTCAAGCTTTTAATTTAAAAAATCTTTATTTTTTTTGCATTTTTTTCATAGTTTTCTTGACAAGAAACAAAAAGCTATCACAGTACTTCGTTTTTTATTATTTGTTTAATTTCTATAACTATTTCTATTTCTATATAATTAAATTATTAAATTATTTATATTGTTTGTAGTTGTCGTTTTTTTTTTCTTCTTTTCTCTCACATAAAGGAACCTAATTATTAAGAGCTTTTAAAAAGCTCTTGTTTTTCGTTACGTTTAATGGCAAAAAATTATGTTTAAAATATAACTAAACAAAAATAAAAACTGTTCCAACTAAATTATGGCAAAAATTAAGGCAGGTTTTTTTTTGTAAAAATAAAATAATAAACTTTTTAAATTATAAAGAGGTCCTTAAGTTGTGTTTTCTTTTTTGTTAAATATTAAAGGATTTTAAATATTAAAAAAAAAGAGTCTCATTTTTAAAGATAAAAAGGGGTTTTGCAACAAGTCGGGGCAAGATTAAGCAATATTGGATAGTAAAGCATGTAAAGCTTTAGAAGTTTAATGGCTAGTTTTTCTAGAAAAGCTTTTCCAAAAAGAGCTTTTGTTAAAAAAGTTTTTCTTAAAACTTGAAATAACAAGTTTTAAGAAAAAAATTCCTAAAAAAGCTGTTTTTGGAAAAGCTTTTCTTAGAAAAGCTCTTCTACAAAAAACACTTCTTCAAAAAGCTTTTCTTAAAAACTTTTCTTAAAAAGCTTTTCTTAAAAATCTTTTCTTAAAAAGCTTTTCTTTAAAAGCTCTTCTTCAAAAAGCTTTTCTTAAAAAGCTCTTTTTCAAAAAGCTTTTCTTCTTTCCTCAAAGTGGTTTTCTAGAAAAAAGCTTTCCGGAAAATTAAAGCTTTTTGAAAAGTAAAAACTTTAATTTGATTTATTTGAAAGTTTTGTAATTTAAGGATGTATTTTAAAGTCTAAAGTAGAAAGCTTTAAGCAGTATTTCTACAAGTTTTCTTTTCTAAATATCTGTCAGTTTTCAGTTAAATTTATTTAAAAGCTTTTAAAAAAGTCTTTAAGCTTTGCTTGTTTTACCCCTTTTTAATCTTTTAACTATTATTACAGAGGGCTTACTCTTAACTTTCGAGCTTTTAATAAATATATAAGCAAATTAAAACAAAAGAGAGCTTTTTTTATAAACTAATTAAGAAAAAACAGAGAGCTTTTTTTTCATTAACTTTATAGAGTTAAAAATCTAACAAAACCTAAATATTAAACAATTAAAGTTTCTAAAAACTAGGCACAAATTTGTTTTTTTTTTTAAATTTAAAGAATTTTTTTTTTAAATTTCGTTTTTTAATAAAATTTATTGTAAAAGTAATTAAGTACTTGAAAAGGGGACAAAGGGTTTTTAAAGGGTTTTCGTTTGTTTATAACTTAACCAAAAGTTTTTTATGGCTAAGCTATTTATAGATGATCTTAGAAAAACTTAAAAAGCTTTTACTAGATGAAGTAGGTTAGCAAGATCGTAAGCCTTTTTTAAGGGGCTTGAAATACGACTTAAGAAGTTTTCATTTTCTTGTAGGGATTTAAGACTAAAGCACTATTGGCCCCAGCGGCTGTAGAGGCGGAGGCAGCTGCCAGTTGAGCGCTAGGAGTCATGCCGGCGGGCAAACCTGTGGCCGAGGGCATGGCTCCCATGGCGGCAAAAGGATAACCGGGCGCTGAGGCCATCATGCCGGGAAAGAAAAAGGCGGCTTGCTGTTGTTGCTGCTGCTGCAGAGCGGCGGCATATTGAGCATTAGGAGCCGCGGGCAAAGTCATGGGTTGACCCCTTAATAAAGCGGGATTGGGAGAGGCGGATAAATAACCCGTTGCAGCAGCTGAGGGAGGACGTGACAATAAAGCCGAACTGCCAGCAGCGGCATGAACAGGTGTTCCAACCGGCGTTGACATGCCGGGATAAGAGCGCATTTGGGCACCAGCCATAGCAGCTACAGCAGCCTGTTGTTGCTGCTGCTGCTGGTGAGCTTGAGCCTGAGCTTGGGCCTGCATAAAGGCAGCATGTTGGGCCATAACCTGCTGGCCGGGAGCAGCCATATAGGCCTTATTCAAAGCCATACCTGAGTAGGCAGCAGCAGCTGCTGTCAAAGGTTTACCCGTCAAAGAACTAGCACTGACATTGGCCGCTTTCAAAGCATTAGCATAGTTTTTCTGGGCCACCTCTTTGGCCAGGGCAGCAGCATCGGCATAATAATTTGCCTGAGCAGCCTGGGCTGCAGTAGGATAAGCACTATAAGCATAGGGCGAGGCTGTAGTGCCGGCATATGAATACGAAGGTACTGTGATAGTTTGTGAAGTATAGGGCGAGACCGAGGTACTCGAAACTGGGGTCTGATGACCATAACTGGCCATTAGATTGGCATAATTTGTATTGGCCACGGCGGCATTATAAGACTGTTGATACAATCTTTGCATATTCTGTTGAGCTTGATAGGCATTAGTCACCACTGAGGAAGTAGCAGGCGGTGTGGGTAATATACCGCTGGAGGAGTGTTGGGTCGTGCTGCCGATGCTACTAGTGCTATAGCCATTTACATAGGAAGAGTTGGAACTGGTAACAGCAGTTTCAGTTAAACCATTGCTTAGGGCATTATTACCATTAACTGATTTCTCTTCGTTACCATTTAAGCCGCCATTGTAATATCTATAGCTTTCATTAGAGTTAAGAGATGTAGGCAAATTTGTATTATTGTTAGTAGTTGTTGAAGATGTAGTTGTAGTTGTTGTAGTATTAGCTGTAGTAGTAATGCCCTCTTTAAGCTTTTCATTAGCAGGCTCCACATCATCTAAGGAAGTGTTATTTAAAGCACTATTGTTATTAGACTGTGATGTAGGCGTTGTTGTAGTCGTCGTCGTTGAGGACAATGACGAAGAGGAAGAGGAGGAGGAGGAGTTTGTTGTTGTAACTTTTTCCTGCTCATTATTATTATTATTGTTATTATTGTTGTTGTTAAGCTCATTGTCATACTCTTGATCATTACTGTTGTAATTTTGTTTAACAGATGCCGTAGCATTCAAACTACTATTACTGTCGTTAACTAAGACTGCTGCTGTAGTAGTTGTAGCAGCAGTAGCATTTAAACTACTATTAACAGTTGTAGTAGAAGTAGTCGATATAGTACTAGTAGTAGAAACATTGGTATCATTACCAGAATTACTAACTAAATTACTACCACCAGTTGTTGTAGTTGTAGCTGTAGCTAAAGCAGCAGCAGCAGCTGCTGTAGTAGTGGTAGTAGCTGTAGTATTGGTAATAGTAGTAGTATTTGGATAATTAATCAACTTAAGACTATTATTACTAGCATTTAAATTATTATTTATATATGATAAACAATTATTATTATTATTGTTGTTGGAGTTTGTAATGTTGTTGTTGTTGTTGCTACTACTGTTATTATTATTGTTGTTATTATTACTGTTAAATGTACTCATCATGGACAAATTACTATTATTATTATTAATAATATTACTATTATGATTACTATTTAAATTATTAGCAATATTTGATAAATGATTATTATAGTTGCTATTTATAGTATTGGATAATTGGGACATGGATTGTTGGTGTTGTTGTTGTTGTGTAGTGTTTAAGGGACTATTTTGGTTTTGGGATAAATGGGAATTTTGTAAATTATACAATTGTTGTAGGTTGTGTTGGTGTAGGTGATTTAGGTGTTGTTGGTGTTGGTGATTTAGGTGGTGTGTTACATTAGCACCTAATGGTGTTGTTGTAGTTGTTGCTGTAGTAGCAGCACTAGCAGCAGCAGCAGTAGTAGTAGAATTACAATTGATATTGATAGTAGTAGTAGGAGCAGTAGTAGTAGAGCTTGTGCTAATTTGAGTTTGATACTCACATGAGACTGGTACAAATGGTTGTTGTAATTGCATTAATTGTTGGTATGTTGTTGCACCGGGATACACAGGAATGCCAGACTTTTCAGCAGCGGGACGTTTAATGGGCACCATGCCAGAATAAGCCTAAAAACAAAGTTTAAATAAGTTTTATTATTATTACCAAATCAAAAATTCAAATTCACAGCAAATTTACTACAAAGTATTAGTTTTGAGCTTTTAACATAAAACAAGTCAAGCTTTTATACAAAAAAACAATAATTATAAAAAATAAACAATTTAAAGTAAAAATATTAAATATAAATCTTAAATAAGCAAATTTTTTTAAAAAGGTAAAAATTTAAAAAAAAAAATTTAAAAAGTACTATTTTTCCAAAAAGTACTTTATTCCAAAAAGTACTTAGTTTCATAAATTGAGCATAATTTTACATTTTTATTACTGTAATAGCCAAAAAGTACTAAATTTTCAAAAAGTATCATATTTGCAAAAAGTACTTTTTTCTGAAAAAAGTACCAAATGTATTTTCTTATATAATTAGCACTAACTACATATAAAATGTACTTATTTATACAATTTACACTTATTATGATAATAGTCCTTTAAATTTGAAAGCAATTTTCAGTTTAAACTAAAAAAGTACTTTTTAAAAAAAAAGGTACCAAATTATTTCTTTTGGAATTTACAAAATTAAACTAGGTATTTAATTTCTATGGGAGTAAGTAGCAAAAAGTACTATTTCTTCACAAAAAAAAAAAAGTTAAATTTTTGGCAAAAAACTAAAATTTTTCAGAAAAAAGTACTTTTTATGTAAAAGGGTCTATGAGGGGGTTTTTTTGACTGAAAGTACTTTTTGATAAAAATAAGTGTTGTTCATATTTTTTTTTAAATAAAATTTTGCTAAAAATCAAACTTTTAGAAAAAAGTACTTTTTTGCTTGATTTTTTTTTTTTTATAAAAGGGAAATTTTTGAAAAAAAGTACTTTTTCGGCAAAATACTTGTTTTGTCTTTAAAAACCCAAGATTTTTTTAAGTAACTTTTGTTTTCTTGTTGAAAATCGTTTTTTTTACATTTTTCTAAAATATCTTCCAATTTTCATCAAAAAGTACTTTTTTGTGAAAGGTACTTTTTATTGTAAAAAAGTAATTTTTGTAAAAAAAAACACTCTAAATTCTTTAAAAATAAGATTTTATTAAAATGACATTTTGTTTTAAATCTGGATTTTCAAAATAGTACTTTTTATTAAAAGGTACTTAAAAAGGGAACATTTGTATGAAAAAGGTACTTTTTTGAAAAAATACTAGTTTTCTATACTTTAAAGTTCAATTTGTATATTACATCATAAATTTTCTAAAAAACCAAATTATTTCTTTGAAAAAGTACTTTTTGTAACAAGGGGACATATTTGTAAAAAAGTACTTTTTGTTAAAAAACACCTACTTTTCTGTTTTTTAAGCAAAATATATATTTTAAATAAAGAGTTTTCTAAAAGATCTGCAAGTTTTCATAAAAAAGTACTTTTTTGTAAAAGGTACTTTTTGTTGAAAAAGGGTACTTTTTGTAAAAAAAATACTCTAAATTCTTTTATAATTAGATTTTATTAAAATGACATTTTGTTTCAAATCTGAATTTTCAAAATAGTACTTTTTATTAAAAGGTACTTAAAAAGGGAACATTTTTTCAGAAAAAAGTACTTTTTCGAATAAAATACTAGTTTTCTACACTTTAAAGGTAAATTTGTTTATTCAATCACCAATTTTCTAAAAAACCAAATTATTTCTTTGAAAAAGTACTTTTTGTAACAAGGGGACATATTTGTAAAAAAGTACTTTTTGTTAAAAAAATCTACTTCTCTGCTTTTTTAAACAAAATTTATATTTTAAATAAAGAGTTTTATAAAAGATCTGCAAGTTTTCATAAAAAAGTACTTTTTTGTTAAATGGTACTTTTTATTGTAAAAAAGTACTTTTTGTTAAAAACATCCTAAATTTTTCAAAAAGCTAAATTAATTGAGAAATTGTGTAAAAAATTTACTATTTCGTTGGATAAAGTACTTTTTCAGTAAAAAACCAAAAAGTACTTTTTTACTAAAAAAGTACTTTTTGTTAAAACGACTTGAATTTTCCTTTTGAACAGCAAAATGTTCTCTATTGTTCTTTAATTTGAACATTTTTCTTAAATTTCCTTACTTTTGGAAACTTCACTTTAAAAACCCTAAAAAAAGCTTTTTAAACATAAACTTAAAAAGTACTAAAAAGACACAAAAACAAATTAAATTGTAATAAATATTTTACAAATAAAGCTTAAAGAAATATTTTGCTGTTTTGATCTTTAACATTACATTAGTACTTACAAAATTTTCATAGTAAAATGAACCAACCGTTTTAACATCCATCTTTGTTTTTTTTGTTTCAAAATTACATTTTGTTTTGGGATTTTTTTTAAGGGAGCATTATTTTACAAGATACAACAAAAATATTTAACAAATATTTGTTGTTGTTGTAATTGTAGCATGACGTTGGTTTTTGGTTGGAAACAAGCAAATTTGGTGTAAAATGGTGGCGTAGTAGAAGGACAAATAGTAGTAGTAGTAGTGGTTGTGGTGTTGATGATGATGTAGCAATAATAGTAGTAGTAGTAGTAGTTATAGTAGTGGTAGTAGTATTACAAAAACAATATCAGTTAAGTACAAAAAAAAAAATAAGTTAGGAAGTTTAACAAGACAAGTCGAGTTATAGCGTCACACACAGACACACAACACATTATAAAAAAGTTCAAATGTTTGATGTAGGGTGTTGGAAAATAGATATTTGCATTTTGAGTAAAAAAAAAATTGGGAAGAAAAAGAGAAGGAAAAAATATTTTGTTAAAAATTTACTTTGTTAATGGTTTTTTTCTTAAAAAAATATTTCATTTTTTACATAAAAAGGATTAATACTAAGTTTATAATTAAAATTACAGAAATAAACAAAAAAAAGGAAAAGAAGGAAACGATAATGAAATTAAAGAAACTAAATAAATGACTTATTGGTAAATAGTTTATAAATTCTGTTAATTTTCAATACAAATTTATACAGTAAAAGCCGAAAAGGGAGTAAAAAGGAGTTTAGAAAGGGTATTTTTTCAACAGGAACAAATTTTGTTGCGGAACTTTTTATAAGTTTCTTTTGTAATTTTTAAGCCTTAGTTTTGTTTATTTTTGAGAAGCAATTTAAGCATTTATATTTTATTGTTTTAAAATATATATTTAAGCCTTAAAATAAGTTAGTTATTGGTGTATATTACTCGTTTACAATTATTGTTTAATATATTTTAAAAGCCTATTTCATTAGGAATCAAATGAGATATACTTAATCAAAATTGATTGGGTTTAATAAAAGTGATTAAACTGAGATATTTTAGGGACATTTTTATAGTCTAGTATTGATTATATTCTAGTCTATAGTCGAATCTATAGTCTAGTTTATAGTCTAGTCTGTAGTTTAGTTTATAGTCTATAGTTTAGTGTATAGTCTAGTCTATAGTATAGTCTATCGTCTAGTCTATAGTCTAGTCTATAGTCTAGTCTATAGTCTAGTCTATAGTCTAGTCTATAGTCTAGTCTATAGTCTAGTCTATAGTCTAGTCTATAGTCTAGTCTATAGTCTAGTCTATAGTCTAGTCTATAGTCTAGTCTATAGTCTAGTCTATAGTCTAGTCTATAGTCTAGTCTATAGTCTAGTCTATAGTCTAGTCTATAGTCTAGTCTATAGTCTAGTCTATAGTCTAGTCTATAGTCTAGTCTATAGTCTAGTCTATAGTCTAGTCTATAGTCTATTGTCTAGTCTATAGTCTAGTCTATAGTCTAGTCTATAGTCTAGTCTATAGTCTAGTCTAGTCTATAGTCTAGTCTAGTCTATAGTCTAGTCTATAGTCTAGTCTATAGTCTAGTCTATAGTCTAGTCTATAGTCTAGTCTAGTCTATAGTCTATAGTCTATAGTCTATAGTCTAGTTTAGTCTATAGTCTAGTCTAGTCTAGTCTATAGTCTAGTCTATAGTCTAGTCTATAGTCTAGTCTATAGTCTAGTCTATAGTCTAGTCTACAGTCTAGTCTATAGTCTAGTCTATAGTCTAGTCTATAGTCTAGTCTACAGTCTAGTCTATAGTCTAGTCTATAGTCTAGTCTATAGTCTAGTCTATAGTCTAGTCTACAGTCTAGTCTATAGTCTAGTCTATAGTCTAGTCTATAGTCTAGTCTATAGTCTAGTCTATAGTCTAGTCTATAGTCTAGTCTATAGTCTAGTCTATAGTCTAGTCTATAGTCTAGTCTATAGTCTAGTCTATAGTCTAGTCTAGTCTAGTCTAGTCTATAGTCTAGTCTATAGTATAGTCTATAGTCTAGTCTATAGTCTAGTCTATAGTATAGTCTATAGTCTAGTCTATAGTCTAGTCTATAGTCTAGTCTATAGTCTAGTCTATAGTCTAGTCTATAGTCTAGTCCTATAGTCTAGTCTATATTCTAGTCTATAGTCTAGTCTATAGTCTAGTCTATAGTTAGTCTATAGTCTAGTCTATAGTCTAGTCTAGTCTAGTCTATAGTCTAGTCTATTAGTCTAGTCTATAGTCTAGTCTATAGTCTAGTCTATAGTCTAGTCTATAGTCATATAGTTCTATAGTCTAGTCTATAGTCTAGTCTATAGTCTAGTCTATAGTCTAGTCTATAGTCTAGTCTATAGTCTAGTCTATAGTCTAGTCTATAGTCTAGTCTATAGTCTAGTCTATAGTCTAGTCTATAGTCTAGTCTATAGTCAGTCTATAGTCTAGTCTATAGTCTAGTCTATAGTCTAGTCTATAGTCTAGTCTATAGTCTAGTCTATAGTCTAGTCTATAGTCTAGTCTATTAGTCTATGTCTCATAGTCTAGTCTATAGTCTAGTCTATAGTCTAGTCTATAGCTAGTCTATAGTCTAGTCTAGTCTAGTCTATAGTCTAGTCTAGTCTATAGTCTAGTCTATAGTCTAGTCTATAGTCTAGTCTATAGTCTAGTCTATAGTCTAGTCTATAGTCTAGTCTATAGTCTAGTCTATAGTCTCGTCTATAGTCTAGTCTATAGTCTAGTCTATAGTCTAGTCTATAGTCTAGTCTATAGTCTAGTCTATAGTCTAGTCTATAGTCTAGTCTATAGTCTAGTCTATAGTCTAGTCTATGGTCTAGTCTATAGTCTAGGTCTATAGTCTAGTCTATAGTCTAGTCTATAGTCTAGTCTATAGACTAGTCTATAGGCTAGTCTATAGTCTAGTCTATAGTCTAGTCTATAGTCTAGTCTATAGTCTAGTCTATAGTCTAGTCTATAGTCTAGTCTATAGTCTAGTCTATAGTCTAGTCTATAGTCTAGTCTATAGTCTAGTCTGTAGTCTAGTCTATAGTCTAGTCTATAGTCTAGTCTCTAGTCTAGTCTATAGTCTAGTCTCTAGTCTAGTCTATAGTCAAGTCTATAGTCTAATCTCTAGTCTAGTCTATAGTCTAGTCTAGTCTATAGTCTAGTCTAGTCTATAGTCTAGTCTAGTCTATAGTCTAGTCTATAGTCTAGTCTATAGTCTAGTCTATAGTCTAGTCTATAGTCTAGTCTATAGTCTAGTCTATAGTCTAGTCTATAGTCTAGTCTATAGTCTAGTCTATAGTCTAGTCTATAGTCTAGTCTATAGTCTAGTCTATAGTCTAGTCTATAGTCTAGTCTATAGTCTAGTCTATAGTCTAGTCTATAGTCTAGTCTATAGTCTAGTCTATAGTCTAGTCTATAGTCTAGTCTATAGTCTAGTCTATAGTCTAGTCTATAGTCTAGTCTATAGTCTAGTCTATAGTCTAGTCTATAGTCTAGTCTATAGTCTAGTCTCTAGTCTAGTCTCTAGTCTAGTCTCTAGTCTATAGTCTAGTCTCTAGTCTAGTCTCTAGTCTAGTCTATAGTCTAGTCTATAGTCTAGTCTATAGTCTAGTCTATAGTCTAGTCTATAGTCTAGTCTAGTCTAGTCTATAGTCTAGTCTATAGTCTAGTCTATAGTCTAGTCTATAGTCTAGTCTATAGTCTAGTCTATAGTCTAGTCAATAGTCTAGTCAATAGTCTAGTCTATAGTCTAGTCTATAGTCTAGTCTATAGTCTAGTCTATAGTCTAGTCTATAGTCTAGTCTATAGTCTAGTCTATAGTCTAGTCCCTAGTCTAGTCTATAGTCTAGTCTATAGTCTAGTCTCTAGTCTAGTCTATAGTCTAGTCTATAGTCTAGTCTATAGTCTAGTCTATAGTCTAGTCTATAGTCTAGTCTATAGTCTAGTCTATGTTCAAGTCTATAGTCTAGTATATAGTCTAGTCTATAGTCTAGTTTATAGTCTAGTCTATAGTCTAGTCTATATTCTAGTCTATAGTCTAGTCTATAGTCAAGTCTATAGTCTAGTCTAGTCTATAGTCTAGTCTATAGTCTAGTTTATAGTCTAGTCTATAGTTTAGTCTATAGTTTTAGTCTAGTATATAGTCTAGTTTTAGTCTAGTATATAGTCTAGTCTATAGTCTAGTCTATAGTCTAGTCTATAGTCTAGTCTATAGTCTAGTCTATAGTCTAGTCTATTGTCTAGTCTATAGTCTAGTCTATAGTCTAGTCTATAGTCTAGTCTATAGTCTAGTCTATAGTCTAGTCTATAGTCTAGTCTATAGTCTAGTCTATAGTCTAGTCTATGGTCTAGTCTATAGTCTAGTCTATAGTCTAGTCTATAGTCTAGTCTATAGTCTAGTCTATAGTCTAGTCTATAGTCTAGTCTATAGTCTAGTCTATAGTCTAGTCTATAATCTAGTCTATAGTCTAGTCTATAGTCTAGTCTATAGTCTAGTCTATAGTGTAATCTATAGTCTGGGCCATAGTCTAGTCTACATTGTAGTCTTTGATCAAAATTTAATACGTTTCCTGAAAATTTTAACTGTTTAACGATTTTAATTTAAATTATCCAAATTTTTCTCATTATTAACAAATAATCATTTATTTTATTATATTTTTTTGATTCATGTTTAAATGTCTGTATTTGCACTTAATTAAATTAATTAATTAAACACTCCAATTTTGTTGTGATTTATTATAAAGTCAACACACATTTTTACAAATGCATATACAACTATAGCACAAACAAATTCATTAATTGAATGTATAGGAGGAGTGTTCTGTGTGAACAGAGAAAAAGAGTAAATAAATTAAATAATTTATTAAAATATTTGAAAGTTATAGAAATGCCAATATTTAAACAAATTGTTTAAAAAGATTTTGGAAAAAAAAGTTTTATGGAAAATTTTTTGTTGTGATTTTAAGGTTTCATGTGGGTTTATACAAGTTTACATGACTTTTTTCGAATAAGCTGAACTTTATTGCATGTAAAAGCTATATTTTTTGCTCGATTTTATTAAAATATATGTCGTTAGGTTGTTAACACATGGGGCTTTAAGGCTTATAGGTAACTTAGTTATTAGGTCTTCTTTGGGATTTTTTATGAATTTTTAAAATTTAGATTTCTTTTTGTAAAGTTATGTTTTTGGTTGCAATTATTTTCCTAGTTTTCATCATTTAAAGGCAAATGATGTCTTAAGTTTTAGCTCAATTTTAATGAAATATATGTCATTTGATTGCTAACAGTTTTAGGTTTATAAACCTTTAATAAGTTGTTTATTTTGTTTTATTTTAAATTTGTTATGATTTTTGTAAAATTTAGAAAAATTTTGAATTTTTTTTGTGTTTATTTATTTTGTGGCAAAAAGTTGTTAAAAAACTGCGAAATTGTTTAGGTACTACCCAAAAATGTTAAATAAACTTTAAGATAATTTGATTTCCTTTATTTAGGTAGTTAGCTGGAACAAATCCTTGAAATATTGCTCGAGTTTTACTATAAAGAGTGAGGCTTCCTTTAAGATTTTGCGTTTAACAGTTTTACCATGGGGTTCCACTTATCTGTGTATAGAATCATTAATTATAGCTCGATTTTTATGATATTTATGTCGTTTGATTTGTAACTCTTTTAGCTTTAGGCTGAAGGTATTAATATTTCATTTTAATGCTTGCTGGATTTTTAACAAATTTTTAAAAAATTAAAAAATTTTTAAATTTTTTATGAAGACTTATTTTCTTCTTTAAATCGTTTCAAATAGCTGTCAAAATATTTAACTGTTTAAAAATTAGATGGGCCCAGCTTTTAGATTAAATGATTTGGAATTTTTTGATATTTTATTTTTTAAAATCGGACTAGTATTTCTCAAGTTATGCTTAATTAAGTAAAGCAATGTACTTAATTTTGTCTATAACATGTAGTAAGATATATTTACATTTCTGTAGCATAGTTTTAGGAGCGGTTAATAAAAATCCATTATTAATAGAACATATGAACGTATAAGTAATATACACCTATAACGTATAAGTAATAGATATGTAGTTAAACACCAAGACGTATGATTAATATTATTATAATAGCAATTAATAAAACGTATACGCAATATTTGAAAAATATAACCGTTAAATAAATAAAGCAAAGCAAAAAGCTTATTTATAATAAACAACATGCTTTAAAGCTTTAATTAAGCTTACAAAAGAAATTATAATATAAAATATTTAAAAAAATATTTTAAATATTTGCTTAATAAAACAAAAACACCAACAATAAATAATTAAATAAATAAGAAAAAATAAAAAACAAAACACACACACTCTCACGCACATAAATAAGTAAATAAACAGAAAAAATGCAAACAATATAAATAAATTAAATTAAATACACAAAGTAAAACCAAATAACGAAAAAACTGAACAGAAAACAAAAGTAAAGACTTAAAGAAAAGAGAACAAAAAAAAAGAAAAATTAAAATACCAATTGAAACATGTCTGTATCGGCAGCACGTTTCTTGCCCACTTCCAAAGGATGCTGTTGACCTAAAGTCAAGGCAGCGACGGCTGCAGCATTGGCAGCAGCTGCGGCTGCATTCGCTACATTCGTTTGCTGTGTAGACGGAAGTGACGAACCGGGCATTGTGGGGATGGTTGGAGGTGGTGGCAGAGGTGGTGGTTGTTGTTGAAGTTGATTATGTTGTTGTTGTTGATGTTGGTGGTGGTGTTGTTGTTGTTGATGATGTGTCAAAGTTGCAGCGGAAACGGAAACAGGTGCAGTCTAGTGGTAATCGAGAGCGAGCGTGCGTGTATAAGTGCGTATATATGTGTGTGTTTGTATGTGTATAATTGCATACCAGCAAAAGTGCAAAGAAAAAAATTTCCATTTTTTTCCATTTTTGTTTAATTTTTGTGCATATGCAGGCGTGCATATTAATTTAAGAAATATATATATATAAATAACATACACATATACAACACATTATCACATACACACACACACATATTTATGGTTAAATAAAAAATGTTTACAAAAAAAATAAAAATCAATTCAATTGTAAACATTTTTCCATTTTCCATTAATTTACACAAACAAACACACATTTACAAAAGTTCATTTAGTTTTGTTGTTGTTGTTTTTTTAAATAGTGATCAATTTCAAATAATTTGTAATAAATTAATTTGATTTTGTTATTGTAATCATTTTTAGTTAATATAATTTAATGGTTGATTTAATTTTAATATATATATTTTTTTTCATTATTAATATTAATTTATTTTAATTATTTTATAAAGCAATAGAATATAAAACAATTTTTTGTAAATATGTTTTTGTTGTTTGTGTTTATTGTGTGCGTTTTTTTTTTTAATTTGTTTTATTGCAGCGTATTTTTTTTGTATTATTAAATTGTTGCAACCATCCATCGTAGCGTTTTTTTAATTTTATTTATTGTAACAAAAGAGTTGTCAGAGGTGTCGAACAGATGATTAAAAAGTTGGTGAAATTAAATGAAAATAAATATAAAAAAAAGAAAAAAAGTAGACAAAAATTATAGAAAATAATTGATAAAGTTTGTTTTTTTATTTAGTGTTAACAGAAATTTGTTAATTAAGTCACAGTTTTTTTTCTCAACTTTTTCTTAGAAAACAAAAATAAAGTCTACTTTTAGGGGTGACATAGATAATTAGGAAAGTTACACAATCTTCCAAAGACAAATCATAATATAGACTGATCTACAATACGACTATAGACTAATTGTCTAGACTATAGACTGATCTAAAGTCTATACTATAGATTGGTCTATAGTGTAGACTATAGATTGATCTATAGTCTAGACTATAGACTGATCATAGACTGATCTCTAGTCTAAACTATAGACTCTAGACTATAAACTGATCTATTATATAGACTATAGACTATAGACTGATCTATAGTATAGACTTTAGACTGATCTATACTTTATACCATAGACTGATCTATAGTCTGATCTATAGTCTGTAGACTGATCTATAGTCTAGACTGTAGACTGATCTATAGTCTAGACTACAAACTAATCTATTGTATATACTCTAGACTGGTCTATAGTGTAAACTATAAACTGATCTATAGTCTAGACTATTTACTCTAGACCATAAACTGACCTATTGTATAGACTGATCTATAGTATAGACTTTAGACTGATCTAGAGTCTACACTATAAACTGATCTATAGTCTAGACTATAGCCTAATCTATTGTCTATACTATAGACTGATCAATAGTCTAGACTATAAACTGATCAATTGTATATACTATAGACTAGTCTATAGAGTAGACTATAGACTGATCATAGACTGATCTATAGTCTAGACTAAATACTCTAGACTATAAACTGGTCTATTGTATAGACTGTAGACTGATCTATTGTATAGACTATAGACTAGTCTATAGTATAGATTTTAGACTGATCTATAGGCTATACTATAGACTGATCTATAGTACAGACTTTAGACTGATCTATAGTATAGACTTTAGAATGATCTAGAGTCTATACTATAGACTGATCTATAGTCTATGCTATAGGCTGATCTATAGTCTATACTATAGACTGATCTATAGTCTATACTATACACTGATCTATAGTCTAGACTATAAACTGATCTATAGTCTAGGTCTATAGTGTAGACTTAAGACTGATCTATAGTCTAGACTATACACTCTATAGACTCTGATCTATAGTTTAGACTATAGGCTGATCTATAGTCTAGACTATAGACTGAACTATAGTCTAGACTATAGACTGATCTATAGTCTAGACTATAAACCGATCTATAGTCCATGTGTATAGTGTAGACTAAAGACTGATCTATAGTGTAGACTATAGACTGATAATATACTGATCTAAAGTCTAGACTATAGACTGATCTAAAGTCTAGACTATAGACTGATCTATAGTCTAGACTATAGACTGATCTATAGTCTAGACTATAGACTGATTATAGTCTAGACTATAGACTGATCTATAGTCTAGACTACTGACCGATCAATAGCCTAGACTATAGAGTGATCAATAGTCTAGACTATTGACTGATCTATGGTCTAGGAAATAGACTGATCTATAGTCTTGAATATAGACTGATCTATAGTCTAGACTATAGACAGATCTATAGTCTGGACTATAGACTGATCTATAGTATAAAATATAGACTGATCTATAGGATAGACTATAGATGAGTCTTATGTCTAGACTATAGACTATAGATCTAGACTATATTAAAGTCTAGACCAGGGACTCATCTATAGTCTATAGCGAAGAATATAGATCAGTCTATAGTCTAGACTATATATTGACCAGCTGATCTATAGCCCAGACTTTAGACTGACCTATAATTTAGATTACGATCTGGTATATGGTCCAAACTTCTAACTTAAATTTTGAATATAGACCGATCTACAGTACTATAAACTATTCTAGTTTTCAGACTATAAACTGATCTACTTTCCAGACTACAGGCTGATCTATAGAATAGTCTATAGACTGCTCTATAGTTTGACTGATCTGCTACCCAGACTATAGTCTAATCTATTGGCCTAGAATGACTAATGACGTAAAGACTATATTCTGATCGATAGTGCAAACTATAAACTGATCTATTAGCTAGACTATAAACTGATTATGGTCTTCTCTATACACCAGATTATGGACTGCTTTAAACGCCAGACTATAGACTGATCTGCTGTCTAATTCACATTATGTAATGATCGATAGTCAAAAGACTATGATCTATAGTCCAGTTTATATAGACTAATCTATGGTCCAAATTATAGTCTTATCTATAGCATAAACCATCTACTGCTTAATAATAGAGACAATAGATTGGCTGTTATTGGAAACTTGATAGTTTAGGCTGGAAAGTAAGCTTTTTTAGCAACATATTACCCCTTAAGTAGTTAGCTTTTTTAAGATTTCCTTTGAAAGCTTAAACTGTGACTAATTTTTATAAATAATATAGTTAAAATTAAATTAAAGATTTTTGTTAGTTAGTATTAGTAAGTTAAAGAAAAGCAAATAGTAGTTTTAAATAAGAACAGAGCAGATTTAATTAAAACAATAGAATAAGCTTTTAAAAGCTTTAGAAAGTTGTATTAAGGAAAAAATTATAGGAATAGTTATAATTAAACAGTAAAGCTTTCATTCAGTTCCATACAAAAAAAGAAATTGTGTTATAAACCTGTTATAAAAGTAAGATATTAAACACTTTGTTTAGGAACCTAAGACTGTAACCTGTTAGGGGACTTTAAGGAGATTATTTAAAAAGCTTTTATTTTTTAAGAACTTTTCAAAGTTTGTAAAACAGTTTCTTACATTGTGCTAAAGTTTATTTTAGAGTTATTGGACTTAAGATTAGAGAACAAAGCTGAGGAGTGGAATTGTAGTATAAAGTTGTTGTTTCACTTGGGAGGTTTTTGAACTTAAAGCTTGCTGGCTATAAGAGCATTTTTCAGTAATTTGTGGAAGCTGTTGCTTTATAGTTTATAGTGCATTTGAGAGCTTTTAACAATGTGGGAAAGAAAAAAGCTTTTGTTTTATAACTATTGAGTTTTTGCTGAATTTCTAAAAGAACTTTAAAGGAAATTTTCAGTTTCTTTTTCTTTCATAAATCTTTGTTAATCTATTCAATTTTATAAACGTACATTTATGACACATTTTCTTAAGCTTTTAAAAGCTAGTTTAAGATATTTATATTTAAAAATACATCTGCTTTTCTTTAAAAAATACATAGAATAAATTTACAAAATAAACTAAACTTAATAATTTAAAAAAATTATTTAATACATACATAAATAAAAAGCTTATAAGAGAAAACTTAAAAAAAAAACCAGAGAAAAATTAAAATTTCTTTAAACACTATTCACAGGAAAATATAATTTCCATAAAAATAACTAAAATAAAACATTTTTAATTAACCCAAACTGTGAATAGCCTTTATATATTTTGGTAAAACATAAATATGTTTAATAAACTTTGTTTGTAATAATACAACAAAATCTCTTTTTAATATTTTTCACACATTCATATTTTTATTTTTATTCAGGAACAATTTATAATTTTTATCTATAACAAGTAAAAACCAATGGAGCTGCTTGCTTTCCTTTATTTTTTTTGGAATATTTTAAAATAAAATTTTACAATTTCTTTTATTTTAAATTAAACAAATAAACAAATTTTTACATAAAATATACTGTTAGTGAACGAAAATATCACAAATAAAATTTGCATAATTTTTTTTGTAATAAGAATTTTATTATTACACAAATAAAACTGAAAAATAATGTTTAGGGGGGAAAATCAAAAAAATTAAAAAAATGTTAAACAAAGGAAAAGTTTTTCTTTTTTTTTAATATGTATTGTGTTGTAATGTATTCAAATGTTTAACAAATTTACTTTCTAATGATTTAAATATAATAATTTACAATAATATTAGTTTTTCTTTTTTCGTTTGTTATAGAAATATTAAAATCATAAATATTTAACTAAAAGTAACAGGAAGTTAACAACTATGTAGAGAAGTAATATTTTTATAAGAATTTTAAGAAAAATTTAAGAAATTAGGGAGAATATCTGAGAAACTAGAACTGAACTAGACTGAACTAGAACTGAACTAGAACTGAACTAGAACTGAACTAGAACTGACCTAGAACTGAACTAGAACTGACTAGAACTGAACTAGAACTGAACTAGAACTGAACTAGAACTGAACTAGAACTGAACTAGAACTGAACTAGAACTGAACTAGAACT